TTAACATCACAAGGTACTGCACAATGAGAATCATTTATCAATGAATGGAAAATATGGCTTCTACAAGATAAAGTTGTGTAATTAGCTTATATTTTGCATACATTAGTCAATTGTAGTTTCCTGATCATATTTCTGTGATCGTACATGTAAACTGCATGTATTTCATTAGAGATTGCATTCAATTATACATGCTTTTAATTTACGGTAATACATAAAAACATTCATGGTGCTTAGTGCATCAAAGTGACTCTATGGTCAAACAATGTTTCAAGAAATGATTTCTGAAAGGCATTTAAACCCCATAAAAACAGGGGAACACACAGCAGCCTATATAAAGAACAAATCCCAATTAAGCAAAAATTGTAGAGTGTACCTAAGGATAAAATATATTTTTCTATAACCCCTAATGTGGGATATATTCAACTAGAGTTAAAATTAACAAAAGTAATCACAAACATAAAAGCTTATCTATTACCATCTAAAATATTCTGGCCCTAGATATTTCTAAGGACACCAGGTTCCAGCATGCATTAGGGGAAGGAATGAAGGAAAATAGAACTGCATAAGCCAATAAACGTTTACATGCTTTAAAGTGTGCACCTTCAAAAGGTTCAGAAGAAAAGGAGGCCCTACTGTATCACCCCCCCCCCCCCCCTTTTATACTGCTTTTCCAACATTTACCACTAGTGCTCCTCCCTGTATTGCTCCTCTCTTCAGCACCCAGAAACCACAAATTCTTTTTCTCTTGCTCACCTCCATTGTGCCCCATTGTACTACCTATTCATTCACCTCCAGTGCCTCCCCCTTAGAACCCCTACACCACTTCTCTCTTTTTGGCACTTCACCCATCCTGCACATCTACTCCTCATCTAACACTACATGTGCTCTCCTCTACCCCTGCTGTCCCACCATAATTCTCCTCACCTCCATTAAGTAAACCCTTCTATATTACTCTTGTCCCTACCCTTTGAGCATACTCCTCCATACTGTTGTTCTCCTATCCATCCATAATTCTACAGCTTCCCCCTAACTCACTTATACACTTCTCCCCTTCTGGAATACTACCAGTGGGTAGTCAGTATGACAACCACAGACCAGTGAAAACAGTAGATTAGCTTGCCAGCCAATAGTAACATTAAAGTGAATTTCTCTATATATTTTATGTTATACATTTTACAACATGTGTTTTTTTCTTTTTTTTGCAGCATTACTTTTTCTGTTTTATTTTGGGTACCAAGCTGTGGGTAAAGAGCTGCATGTGCTATTTTTCTTACTCAAATATAGTATTTATTGGTAATACTTGTTCTCTTAAAAAGTATCATTTTAAAGTATTATTTGTGGTATACTAAATATATACAAAGTAGCAAGTGTTTAGTCAGTTTGCTGCCCATATATTACTACAACTGCCAGAGTGCTGCTGATGTATTGCCATGATATCCAGTGCATTGTCCATGTTTATTAACCATGTATTGTCATTGTGCTGCATATATTTCTTACCCATGTACTGTCACAATCACCCTTGTGCAGCCCGCTCATTGTTATGACTGCCCGTGCGCTGACTGTGTTTGCAGCTTATGTGTAACCTAGTCAATACATTTTATTTTAGGGACTTTATTACCACAAAGGTAGGTACTGTATATCTAAAGCCTAAACTTGTTTAGTGTAGGAAATAGTTGAAATCCCTGTGAGTTTTTTTCAAACCCATTTACAAAATTTCTTTTAAATTCCTGTCCTGTAGGTGCAAGATCATTTTCCACCTCCTGTGCTGGTGACAACTTAAAATTTTTGAGCTCCCATTATTTGTAATCGCAGTGACAATGGTCATTGTATAGTACTATACTGTATTTCAAATTAGTTGCTCTTGGGGGTTCCTTAGTAAACCCATTGTCTTAGCTTGCCAATATTCTAGACTCTAGTTGAGAGCAGTTATCTCAAAATGAGAGCCAACAATGGGCTTTATCTTAGAAGTTGATGAGTAGTCTTTTTTTTTTACTTCATCCATCATATTTAGAAGCTAATGACAAGATACAGAAAGAAGGAAGTGGTAGGCTAAAGAACTAACTTCCTTGAAGAAAATCAGTATTGTCATAATAGTAGCTCTCCGAAAGGGAAATCACTATGCATCCAAGCACTTCTAGATATATTCGGTGAAGTCCAGATGCAAGCTGAAGGTCCTCAGTGCCGGTACTGGTTTACTTCGGTCATAGAGCCCATACTCATGCGAGCCTCTAGTTTAATACTTCTGTGCAATCAAGCAGGTGCATGGACTGAGAGCATAATTACAAATGTTGAGGAAATCTTTGAAACTACAGATATCAGCAATTTTTATACCAAATGAAATGTTCAAAAAAATAGATGAAGTGTATTTATGCCTATTTTATATATTTTATACTGATCTTGAGGTTAGCTTAAGGCAGAAATGTGTGCAACACCAGTGATTTAGAGATTTCCTAATGGCATAAATCATACAGAGTACAATGTTGCCTCACTGCTATTCTACAAAAAATGACACCAAATACTTATTGCATGATTAATGGTGAACAAATTCAAGAATTCCTTAGGGGAATGTGTTGCAAAACTAAAGGATCTAAACCAGAGGCTAGATTTAGAACAAAGAAGTCCTCCACAGTCTACTGTTTCTATTAGACAAATCTCTTAAAAATAACTTTATTCAAGAAATAACACATTTAAAGTGATCTAAAAGCTATATTAGTGCATCATAACATGAATTGTAATTATCTTTCATTCTCTTTCATAAATCTCATCAAGTACACATTTCCCTGGATTTAATCTAGGATAATGCTTGGTTTAAGATAAACCGAAAGTTAGGATAGATATAATTCATATTGATATTGCCAATATTTCTTTAAGCTGAAGTTTAGCTAAAAAAATTCCCTACATCTTTAGTCACATCACTTACTTGGAAAAATCTTCTGTGCAGAAATGCCTTGTCCTCTTCATGTCTTTGAATCTGCAGTGCTACAATGGTTACCAGTTTTGGGTTTTCCTCCATTAAAAAAAGATAATTCATTGATTACACTGCTTGTAATAAATTTGTGAATCTGAGAGATAATCCTGTGGCTGATCAGACTCTCCCCATTCACAGATTATGTTACAGACAATGTAATCAATGAAAGAGCTTTTCTTAATGGAGGGGGAGGAAGGAGGTGCTTGTCCCCATCAGACCATCTGTACTGCATTCTATAGTTCAGAGATAGGAAGAGGACAGGCATCCTTGCACAGAATATTTCTCCAGGATACAATTCAGCTTTAACTTTTTAATAGGTTGTGATTTTTATTACAGAGAAACACAGTAGAGCTATCTTAAAACAATAATTCAGTTTGGGGTTTTATGGCCGTTTAAACCCAACTCACTATAATGTGTCTAGTTGTTCTTTATTATTGTCATTATACTGTAAATAGATTACTCTCTTAAGGGAATTTTTCCTGAAAAGCTAAAATCCTCCACTAGCCACTGATCCTGCATTGACTTTAAAGGATCAGTCCAACCTAAAGTGATATGTTGGATATACAGTAACTGATGAATGCGGTACCCGACCCCTGCCCTTCTTGCCAACTCGTGGCAAAAGACCGGCCATTCTCACAACTTTCGGTCACTTGCGTAACAATGCCACTCTCAGCTGCATCCTGCACAGAGATTTTCCACCTTGCATGACCACAATCTAGGTGCCACAGCCTGAGAGTGATTGTTACTGCGTTAAGTTACTAAACAATTATTGTAACTTTTTAAGTTACCACCACTGCCTTTGACTGAGAAGGCAGAAACGTATAATCTTAGCAATAACAAACATGAAAAATAAATGTCTGCAACACACACTGTCACCACAGACAGGTATGTTCACAGATTTGTAATACAGTAGCACTCTTCAAGAGACAGGGATTCTTTAATTTGAATTAAAAGCCCTAGAGACAGTTTTAACACTTTTCAAAATACAGTAGAATTTAATAATGAAAAGGTCAAAATAGTGTAACTAAAATATTTACAGAAAAAAAGATGTTACAAAGAAGTAAAGAAACCATAAAGCAAAAAAAAAAAAATTAATAAGGAGTTGAAAATGAAGAACATTTGCAAAGTCCTTGGTTTTAGCAGAATCCAATTGTCCAAGCAAAAATTTTGCCGTGGCTCTCTCAAGTCAGGTTAGGTGTTCCTTAATTTATGTTAAAACGAGAGCTTGACAACCGGTTCTGCAATTTACTTTTCTGATATATCAAAGGAGTGTTGACAGAGACCATCTGACCAATCATCCAATTTAAGGAGTGGGTGCTGGGAGGTCCCAAATACAGTTTTATACTAATATTAATATCTTCCACTATGTACAGGTTGCATTCTGGAAACTGGTAAACCAAACACAAAGTATTTTGGATGGGTCTGTCACACAGGAGGGAGGAGACTGCATTCTCCCCTTATGTATGTTCTAGCTTAGTCAATAATAACCTTGATTTGTTCGGTATGATATTCCTCGTTCAAATATATGCTTAATATTAATGTGTCTTGGTCCTGTTGGATTTTATGAATTGTGTGTGGATCTTGGTAAGTTGTTAATTCGGTATAGGTCTTAGAGAGGTCAAGCACATCTGGCTGCTTTCTGTGTATATGGTTTTTGGCACTCTACATGTTCCTAGTGCCATAATGGCCTTACATGTTATGTGTGACAGAATGGACATATTTTGTCATTGTTTTATGACAGGTAAGAGGGAAGTGTTAATCTGTTTAGTGTTTTATGGTCCGTAGAAACAGGCATGCTGCAGGCCTCAATTAGTGTTTACAGCTCTGACCAAGGCATGTCTGCTGTCCCTAGTTTTACATAATAGGCTCTTTTGAAGTGTGTTTAAACATTAAAGCTATTAGAGATGAGCGAAGTATTCAAAAATTCGATTCAGCTGATTCGGCGAATTCGAGGAATAAATTCGATTCGAGTCGAATATATTCGCTGTGAATTTAACTTATAAAAAGGGTGTTTCTAGGCTTCAGAGAGCCTTTATATTAGTGCAGAACACTGTACCTTTAATTTAAATGCCCTTGGAGTCTGCTGGGGAAGAGAAATAATACTGTCAGTCAGTATGACATGCAGATGAGTGCCGTCGATCTTAGAATCACCGCACACTTCACTCATTTGGGCAGTCACGGGGCCAAAACCAGAGTGTGGAGCCACAGTGTGGGCGGTGGAGGCAGCAGCAATGGGAGGCCATACAGCACCCTATGACAAAATGGAACCCACCAGCAGTGTGAGGAGACCTGAAAGTGGCACATGGCAGAGTGTGGCGATGGAGACAGCAATAATGGGAGGCCGTACAGGGACCCATGAGACACTCTGGACCTGGCAGCAGCATGAGGAGGCGGTACGGGGGCCCATGGCAGATTACGGGCCTGGCAGCAGCAATGGGAGGCCCGTAATCTGCCAGCACCCTATGACAAAATGGAACCCACCAGCAGTGTGAGGAGACCTGAAAGTGGCACATGGCACAGTGTGGCGATGGAGACAGCAGCAATGGGAGGCCGTACAGGGACCCATGAGACACTCTGGACCTGGCAGCAGCATGAGGAGGCGGTACGGGGGCCCATGGCAGATTACGGGCCTGGCAGCAGCAATGGGAGGCCCGTAATCTGCCAGCACCCTATGACAAAATGGAACCCACTAGCAGTGTGAGGAGACCTGAAAGTGGCACATGGCACAGTGTTGCGATGGAGACAGCAGCAATGGGAGGCCGTACAGGGACCCATGAGACACTCTGGACCTGGCAGCAGCATGAGGAGGCGGTACGGGGGCCCATGGCAGATTACGGGCCTGGCAGCAGCAATGGGAGGCCCGTAATCTGCCAGCACCCTATGACAAAATGGAACCCACCAGCAGTGTGAGGAGACCTGAAAGTGGCACATGGCAGAGTGTGGCGATGGAGACAGCAGCAATGGGAGGCCGTACAGGGACCCATGAGACACTCTGGACCTGGCAGCAGCATGAGGAGGCGGTACGGGGGCCCATGGCAGATTACGGGCCTGGCAGCAGCAATGGGAGGCCCGTAATCTGCCAGCACCCTATGACAAAATGGAACCCACCAGCAGTGTGAGGAGACCTGAAAGTGGCACATGGCACAGTGTGGCGATGGAGACAGCAGCAATGGGAGGCCGTACAGGGACCCATGAAACACTCTGGACCTGGCAGCAGCATGAGGAGGCGGTACGGGGGCCCATGGCAGATTACGGGCCTGGCAGCAGCAATGGGAGGCCCGTAATCTGCCAGCACCCTATGACAAAATGGAACCCACCAGCAGTGTGAGGAGACCTGAAAGTGGCACATGGCAGAGTGTGGCGATGGAGACAGCAGCAATGGGAGGCCGTACAGGGACCCATGAGACACTCTGGACCTGGCAGCAGCATGAGGAGGCGGTACGGGGGCCCATGGCAGATTACGGGCCTGGCAGCAGCAATGGGAGGCCCGTAATCTGCCAGCACCCTATGACAAAATGGAACCCACCAGCAGTGTGAGGAGACCTGAAAGTGGCACATGGCAGAGTGTGGCGATGGAGACAGCAGCAATGGGAGGCCGTACAGGGACCCATGAGACACTCTGGACCTGGCAGCAGCATGAGGAGGCGGTACGTACGGGGGCCCATGGCAGATTACGGGCCTGGCAGCAGCAATGGGAGGCCCGTAATCTGCCAGCACCCTATGACAAAATGGAACCCACTAGCAGTGTGAGGAGACCTGAAAGTGGCACATGGCACAGTGTTGCGATGGAGACAGCAGCAATGGGAGGCCGTACAGGGACCCATGAGACACTCTGGACCTGGCAGCAGCATGAGGAGGCGGTACGGGGGCCCATGGCAGATTACGGGCCTGGCAGCAGCAATGGGAGGCCCGTAATCTGCCAGCACCCTATGACAAAATGGAACCCACCAGCAGTGTGAGGAGACCTGAAAGTGGCACATGGCAGAGTGTGGCGATGGAGACAGCAGCAATGGGAGGCCGTACAGGGACCCATGAGACACTCTGGACCTGGCAGCAGCATGAGGAGGCGGTACGGGGGCCCATGGCAGATTACGGGCCTGGCAGCAGCAATGGGAGGCCCGTAATCTGCCAGCACCCTATGACAAAATGGAACCCACCAGCAGTGTGAGGAGACCTGAAAGTGGCACATGGCAGAGTGTGGCAATGGAGACAGCAGCAATGGGAGGCCGTACAGGGACCCATGAGACACTCTGGACCTGGCAACAGCATGAGGAGGCGGTACGGGGGCCCATGGCAGATTACGGGCCTGACAGCAGCAATGGGAGGCCCGTAATCTGCCAGCACCCTATGACAAAATGGAACCCACCAGCAGTGTGAGGAGACCTGAAAGTGGCACATGGCAGAGTGTGGCGATGGAGACAGCAGCAATGGGAGGCCGTACAGGGACCCATGAGACACTCTGGACCTGGCAGCAGCATGAGGAGGCGGTACGGGGGCCCATGGCAGATTACGGGCCTGGCAGCAGCAATGGGAGGCCCGTAATCTGCCAGCACCCTATGACAAAATGGAACCCACCAGCAGTGTGAGGAGACCTGAAAGTGGCACATGGCAGAGTGTGGCGATGGAGACAGCAGCAATGGGAGGCCGTACAGGGACCCATGACAGATTACGGGCCTGGCAGCAGCATGAGGAGGCGGTACAGGGGCCCATGGCAGATTACGGGCCTGGCAGCAGCAATGGGAGGCCTGTAATCTGCCAGCACCCTATGACAAAATGGAACACACCAGCAGTGTGAGGAGACCTGAAAGTGGCACATGGCACAGTGTGGCGATGGAGACAGCAGCAATAGGAGGCCGTACAGGGACCCATGAGACACTCTGGACCTGGCAGCAGCATGAGGAGGCGGTACAGGGGCCCATGGCAGATTACGGGCCTGGCAGCAGCAATGGGAGGCCCGTAATCTGCCAGCACCCTATGACAAAATGGAACCCACCAGCAGTGTGAGGAGACCTGAAAGTGGCACATGGCAGAGTGTGGCGATGGAGACATGGGCCCCCTTGCCACGCTTGACTTTCTGGCCACATAGTCAACATACGGCTACGTTTACTTCCTCGGGCGGCTTGACGAAAAATTGCCACACCGCCGAGTAGGAAACTTTGCCCCCGATACTCCTCACTGGCTGACTGCTACTTCCTCCGTGCACACCGGCACCACTACTGGCCATGGTGGTAGGCTGCAGTGGAGCTGGTGCTCTACTCCGTGGCCGTTTGCCTCCACTGACACTGCTGCGACCCTGCTGCCTCCTGGGCAACCCACCGACTGTTTTGCTCGCTGCCAAGCTGGCACCCTCTTCTCCTGATGATGCGGAAGCAATAGCCTGATGACGACGAGGCTGCCAAGTGCGATCAGCCTCATCATCATCAATTAGGGTCTCCGCCTCACTACTAGCCCCCTCGGCTGCGTGTGTGGGTCAGGAGACAGACCTGTCTCTAGACCGGCTACCGAGCCACTCTCCTCGCCAGTACTTCTTCGCCTGGCTGCTGAAGAGGCGGATGTCTCCCCCCGTTCCTGACCGCCCTCTGTTAGCTCTTCCTCACTGTACAGTGGGGCTGAGCCCACAGCATGCGATACTTCGCTTGGTGAGGGAACACCAAAGGACAGGGGCAGGTAGAGGACACGTGATTTCAGTGGGCTTGTTCCCGGGCCATGCCAACTAACGGTTGTGTCTGACGTACCCACCGACCGTTGGCTGTAGGTGTCAGAGGTGACCTGGGAAGAGGAAGACGACCGAGCCAACCAATCCATGACGGCAGGGTTGTCGGTGGAGACACGACCGCTGGATGACACCGGGAGCACTGGCCTCTGGCTGCGACTAGTGCTGCCTCGACCCCTTCCTCTGCTGCCACGTCTGCTCGCTCCTGAAACATTGCCTCCTCTGCCACTCCTCTGCGTGTTGTCTGACATACTCTTTAATTCAACAATTCTGTGTCCCTGAGTAACGATTCTGTGTCCCTGAGTAACAATTCTGTGTCTGTCCCTGAGTAACAATTCTGTGTCCCTCAGTAACAATTCTGTGCCCCTCAGTAACAATTCTGTGTCTGTCCCTGAGTAACAATTCTGTGTCCCTCAGTAACAATTCTGTGTCCCTCAGTAACAATTCTGTGTCTGTCCCCGAGTAACAATTCTGTGTCCCTGAGTAACAATTCTGTGTCCCTGAGTAACAGTTCTGTGTCCCTGAGTAACAATTCTGTGTCCCTGAGTAACAATTCTGTGTCCCTCAGTAACAATTCTGTGTCCCTCAGTAACAATTGTGTCTGTCCCTGAGTAACAATTCTGTGTCCCTGAGTAACAGTTCTGTGTCCCTGAGTAACAGTTCTGTGTCCCTGAGTAACAATTCTGTTCCCTGAGTAACAATTCTGTGTCCCTCAGTAACAATTCTGTGTCCCTCAGTAACAATTCTGTGTCCCTCAGTAACAATTCTGTGTCTGTCCCTGAGTAACAATTCTGTGTCCCTCAGTAACAATTCTGTGTCCCTCAGTAACAATTCTGTGTCTGTCCCTGAGTAACAATTCTGTGTCCCTGAGTAACAGTTCTGTGTCCCTGAGTAACAATTCTGTGTCCCTGAGTAACAGTTCGGTGTCCCTGAGTAACAATTCTGTGTCCCTGAGTAACAATTCTGTGTCCCTCAGTAACAATTCTGTGTCCCTCAGTAACAATTCTGTGTCCCTCAGTAACAATTCTGTGTCTGTCCCTGAGTAACAATTCTGTGTCCCTGAGTAACAGTTCTGTGTCCCTGAGTAACAATTCTGTGTCCCTGAGTAACAATTCTGTGTCCCTCAGTAACAATTCTGTGTCCCTCAGTAACAATTCTGTGTCTGTCCCTGAGTAACAATTCTGTGTCCCTCAGTAACAATTCTGTGTCTGTACCTGAGTAACAATTCTGTGTCCCTGAGTAACAGTTCTGTGTCCCTGAGTAACAATTCTGTGTCCCTGAGTAACAATTCTGTGTCCCTCAGTAACAATTCTGTGTCCCTCAGTAACAATTCTGTGACTGTCCCTGAGTAACAATTCTGTGTCCCTCAGTAACAATTCTGTGTCCCTCAGTAACAATTCTGTGTCTGTCCCTGAGTAAAAATTCTGTGTCCCTGAGTAACAGTTCTGTGTCCCTGAGTAACAATTCTGTGTCCCTCAGTAACAATTCTGTGTCTGTCCCTGAGTAACAATTCTGTGTCCCTGAGTAACAGTTCTGTGTCCCTGAGTAACAATTCTGTGTCCCTGAGTAACAGTTCTGTGTCCCTGAGTAACAATTCTGTGTCCCTGAATAACAGTTCTGTGTCCCTGAGTAACAGTTCTGTGTCCCTGAGTAACAATTCTGTGTCCCTGAGTAACAATTCTGTGTCCCTCAGTAACAATTCTGTGTCCCTCAGTAACAATTCTGTGTCCCTCAGTAACAATTCTGTGTCTGTCCCTCAGTAACAATTCTGTGTCCCTCAGTAACAATTCTGTGTCCCTCAGTAACAATTCTGTGTCCCTCAGTAACAATTCTGTGTCTGTCCTTGAGTAACAATTCTGTGTCCCTGAGTAACAGTTCTGTGTCCCTAAGTAACAATTCTGTGTCCCTGAGTAACAATTCTGTGTCCCTCAGTAACAATTCTGTGTCCCTCAGTAACAATTCTGTGTCTGTCCCTGAGTAACAATTCTGTGTCCCTCAGTAACAATTCTGTGTCCCTCAGTAACAATTCTGTGTCCCTCAGTAACAATTCTGTGTCTGTCCCTGAGTAACAGTTCTGTGTCCCTGAGTAACAATTCTGTGTCCCTGAGTAACAATTCTGTGTCCCTCAGTAACAATTCTGTGTCCCTCAGTAACAATTCTGTGTCTGTCCCTGAGTAACAATTCTGTGTCCCTCAGTAACAATTCTGTGTCCCTCAGTAACAATTCTGTGCCCCTCAGTAACAATTCTGTGTCTGTCCCTGAGTAACAATTCTGTGTCCCTGAGTAACAATTCTGTGTCCCTCAGTAACAATTATGTGTCCCTCAGTAACAATTCTGTGTCTGTCCCTGAGTAACAATTCTGTGTCCCTCAGTAACAATTCTGTGTCCCTCAGTAACAATTCTGTGTCTGTCCCTGAGTAACAATTCTGTGTCCCTGAGTAACAGTTTTGTGTCCCTGAGTAAGAATTCTGTGTCCCTGAGTAACAATTCTGTGTCCCTAAGTAACGATTCTGTGGCCCTAAAGTCTCTTTGGCCCTAACTCTGTCCTTAATACAGAGAGGTCTGTCTCTCTTGAATGACGGAGGCTAATGGAGAATTCTAAGATGGCCGCAATTTATAGCTCGACCATTACACAGTGCTGGCTGGCTGGCTGCTGATTGGCTAATGCGATCACATGTCATGAATGAATGCATTATGGGTCAGCGCGCCTTGTCTGCGCGCCTTCCCAGAGATCCCCGCTCCGTCGCCACACATGTCGCCGCCATTTTTGGAAAATTTCGATTCGCGCATCCGAAGTCTGCTAATTTTCGGATTCCTAAAATTCGAAACGAATTCCACTTCGCCAAGTTCGATTCGCTCATCTTTAAAAGCTATGAATTCCATAGTTTACAGGAGGAGGGAGGGGGGTAAGATCAGTGGGCTCAGGTAAAACAAAATGGCTGAGACCTTACAAGATGGCTGTTGCCTACAGTTTGCATGTGCCTACCACATACAACCATTACAATAACATGGTGTTCTGAGTCGGCTCTAGGCTTCTTAATTCTCTTGGATATTTCCAGCTATATCTCCTACCATCATTCTTCATTCAGTTGCACCTGGGAGTTTGGAAAATTTCTACAGACTCTTGCGTTTTTCTGCAAATCTGTTGCATTCTCCATACTTTATTTACAAATGCAGAGCGAGAACCCCACAAAATGGCCACAGCGTGTGTGCATACCCAGGAATATCAACCTAGACAGCTAATCAATTAAGCAATATATAACAAATGTGAGGTGGTTTAGCTCTTAATCTATTTACAGCTGAAGGATATGTTTATGGATGTACTGACCCTTCAAAGGGCAAATAAGAAACTGAAAAAAGTTATCAAAAGCCTCAGGAAAATTTTCAATTGCACATGGCTTATCTTCAGGAAAAAAAATTATTTCCCCACTATCCTCTCTGATCCTAACCTACAATATATCTTTTTTATTTTTTTTTTTAAATCTATCGAAAAGCCCACTTTTTTACCTATAACTATTCATGTAACATGGCAGGTTCCATGTCTTTTTTCTTCTCTTCTTGGCTCCAGAAGTGTCCATCACAAGTACTTCAGGGGGTCTTACAATCAAGGGACAGATACCACTGGTAAATGAGGTTTTAGGGGCCAAGGGTTGGGTAGGTGCAGGTGTAGTGGTAATGGGATGCCGTTATATTTTTTCCTGGGTATGAGCTTTAAACTTCCATAGCATACAATGAAACAATTACACATCCAATAGCAGCCATTTTTCTAATTGCCAAAGTATTAAACCCTTGACTTCAGTATACAGTACTGCAGTAATGATAACTGGAAACAAATTAGAGAAGCAAGGCATTTACAAACTAGAAAATCTAAAATTCAATAAAGCTGAAGCTTAAGTAATTTTGTTTTGGGAGGGCAACAGGAGTACAGCACTGAATTTTTGGCACTACGTAAGTTAACTGCCACCCCCTTCCTGTCCACTCCTTCATTAACAACGCTCTTTGTATTGTTTCCACAGAATGCAACACATTTTGTGAATAGAGGAGAGGATCTTGTCATTTATCTGATTCTCCCACCTTCAAGGTACATGTTGTATTTTGTGAAAACATGGAGAGTTGTGAATGAAGGAGAGGACAGGAAGAAGAGGGTGGTGTCAGGATTCCTTCAGGGTTATACCTGACACAGTTAACTCATATTGCGCTGGAATTTCAGCATTTGGAAAAGTACCCAGCCTCATTGAAGAGAAGATTTCTACATTGTGGAACAGTTAGAAGGATGTAAGGTACACTTTAATATAAGTAGGGTATGTAACTGAACTGAAGCTGTACCCCCAAAAAAATAAAAGCTAACTATTATTCAGCTTTAAAGCTGAACTTAAAAGCTGAAGACATATATAAATTCATAAATACATCACTAAATGTATTTTTAATGCATGCAGTGTAACTCCCTGAATTTGACTTCACATCAGCCTCTTGTGGTCCCCTGTAAATCAAAGCTCAAGTGGGGGGGAAGGAGAAACAGAAAAAGGAACCAGTCAGTTGCAAGTGTGAGGAGCATGCATGCACCTTTAACGAATAATGTATATAGATGTTTGCCTAAAGTACAGCTTGCAATTTCATGTAAATTGTATCATCTGAAAAATATTTACAACATCTGGTAACTGTTCATAAACTTGGCTTTTAATCATATACCATACTGTATATACTTGGTCAGTATGTGCAGTACATTCAGTGTTTCATTGGAAAGTAGACACGGCACAATAGTTATATCTAACTCCTGCTGCTTATGCAAAGTCTGTAGATGCTTCTAAGCTTGTACTGAATAATATGCAGTCACAGCATGTGCCAACCTTTACTGCATAGCCATTCAATCATATTTAACTACAGATTACACGTTACTGGAGTCAGAAGAGTGAAAGATGAATTCTGATTATTTGCTACAGGTTACCTTCACTTTGCTTTATTTAAATAATCCTGACAGCATGCAATATGATATTGTTTTCAGCCATTCTCATAGCAATCATCTTCTAAGAATGTTGAAACAGAAGTAAACTTGTTGGTGTGGGTGAGCTTTTGCCATAATTTGAAAGCTTAGCATACTTGCAGATTATGGCACACACCTACCTCCCTCTAAACTGTCCTCCATGGTGATGGGTATAGGATCCTGTCCTGTCTTCCTGGTCTTCTTCAGCCACTGTTTGAACACTGATGATGTAAATCCTGCAAAGCTGCATTGTCTGCAGCACCTAGTTCTATCATCTGCATGCACCATGCAGCATACATAGGAAACAAAAATTCACCAGGAACTGAAGAAAAGTGGGCTTTTTTTTCAAAAGAGACTTTGCATATCTTTTTCTGCCAAAAACCTCTAACTCCAGGTGACCATTTGTTAAAGTGAGTTTAGGTCCACTTGTCCCACATACAAAGAGTTGTAGCTGTAAAGATGAAAATTAAATATTGTTAAATGCCCAGCAGTGTTGAAGTTAAACTAAAATGCATAACATAATACATGATGTGTAAAAAATATCTCAACTCCTTACTCAAAAAATGTGCAAACTAAACAATCTTTGGAAAAATACTTACTTTTTATCCCAGTTCCAGAAAGATTTTTGAGCTTTGAACAGAGTAGAGAAAGATTAGAACCTACAGTAATGGCCAAAAATATTGGCACCCCTGCATTTCTGTCAGATAATGCACCACTTCACCCAGAAAATTGTTGCAATTACAAATGTTTAGGCATTTTCATGTTTATATCTTTTATTTGTACTGTATGGCACAAAAAAGTGGAGAGACAAAAAACCAAATCTGACACATTCCACGCAAAACCCCAAGAAAAACAAAATTATTGTCACCTTCTCAAAATTGAAAGAAATAATTGCATTCCAAGTTTGTGATGCTCCTGTAATTTGCAATTAAACTCACCTGTATCAGTTAACAGATCTTAATGTTCATGTGTCCACTGTGCACAACATTGTCAAGTTCACAGTCCATGGCACTGTAGCTAATCTCCCTAGACATGGACGAAAGAGAAAACCTTGATCATAGATTGCAACGAAGGATTGTTTGATGGAGAAAGAACCTCGATCGTCTTCCAGACAAATTCAAGCTGACCTTCAGGCACAGGGTACAACTGTATCAGCTTGCACTATACGTCGCCATCTGAATAAAAAGCGATGCTATGGTAGGAGACCCAGGAGGACCCCACTGCTGACTCAGAAATGTAAAAAAGCCAGATTGGAGTTTGCCAAAACTTGTCTGAGGAAGCCAAAATCTTTATGGGAGAAAGTGCTGTGGACAGACAAAACAAAATTACAGCTTTTTGGCAAAGTCCATCATTATATTGTTTTCAGAAAAAGCAATGAGACCTTT